AGGTGATGATGACATCGGTAATAGAGGAAATTCAAAGTGCCTCCAGATGATACCAGGAGACTGGAAAGACACCCAAATAATCTGGATTGAGAATAGGAAGTTATTCGAAAAGGCTAAAAAGACACAACATAGTCTTAACATTAACCTCACCAAATGGTACCTATTTAAATGAGTAGATGGCTCAATGGAGTCACGCTCTTCCCGTAAACTTGAACTTGTAACTAATCTGCTTAGAGTAATAAAAAAATCAAAAAATTTTTTGTTGTCAATATTAAGGTGTTGCTTTTTAAAAAATTAAGTATCATAATTATTGTTTGTCTATTAAACAAAAAAATTCAATTATATTTAAAAAAATACACCAACAAAGATCAAGAGACACATTTTATGTTCATTTTCTCATGACAAAAAAACATTTAAAATAAAAAAAAGACAACAAACAAATTAGTTTATGTTAGGGGCTTCAAAAAAACAAGAAGATCTTCTTCTTATCTAATTATCAGGAAAACTTTTGCCTTGTGTTCCGCACAACCTCCCTTACTCGCTTACCTTATTTTATTTCCAGCTCATTGGGTTGTCTGGAAGAAATCGCTCATTAGCGATAAGACCACCCTTTCTGCAATGTTGTATTTTTCTACTTGTTTTGTATCTGCTTTTTTATCTATTGTTTTTTTTATTAGGTTTTTTTTATTGATTTTTATAAAATAGTCACTCGATTTTAATGGTGATTTAAATCACTCATTGAAATCAAACACTCATTCGTGTAAAATGTGAAAGAATAAGAAATTTGCCAACGATATGTAAATAGATATAACATACCACTTGAGGGGTAATCCATTCTTGTATAATGTAAAAAATTCTTAGTTCACGGGGTAAGTCAGTGTGGAGTTTATGGCTGATTAGTGACCCACTGAGAGATTTCCCACAACGGAGGCAAACACTATGGTGGCCTTTTAGTCTTTTCCCATTATCAATTGGGTTTTGAGCCAAATCCCAGCATGCCTAGCAAACATAGTCACCTTTGGTTACCTGAGAAACAAAATGAGTACTAAGTATTTACAATATTTTTTAAATCTTATGGGTCTTTGGAGCTTTCTTTTAAATTAGTGATTGAATGGAAAAGTCTAACTGAAGGCAAGGTTATGTTTACTTACAGGGGGCCAATTGCCTAACGGGATTGCTTTGGAAAACGCTATCGCTTATGATTTCATTTTGTAATTTCTGACCGCCGAAGGTTTTCAAATACCTCACGCTCATTTTCTTTAATATTGTTATTAACAATGCAAAAGAAAAAAAAAGAGCGCGAGGCATTTGAAAACTTCAGGTGGCTAGAAATAACAAAATGAAATCGTAAGCGATAGCGTTTTCCTAAGCAATCCGGTTAGGCGAATGGGCCCCAGGTTGAGGTGACAGCCATTCCCTAAACACTGACAGAATTGACTGAACTTCTAGAATGAATGTTTGCCTGTTGCGTTACACCGAAATGCTATCCCACAGTTAACACAACGATGCATCGTCAGTCAGTGTCCAATCCAAGATCGTAGTGTTAGGTAACCTAGGTATAAGCTATTTAAAAACAACAAATTTATGCCTGACGAAAGCCTTGTTGTTGATTTGTTTTTTTTTAATGTTTTTTGGCTTGCACGGTTTGTGCATTAGCCTCGACAGAAAGGTTAGGAAACGGTTATTTCAGGAAATGTGAAAAGGCCTTTCCTTTTATCCTATATACCTACGTAATTTAGAAAAATTGGGACCAAAAGGAATAAATAGATACTTAGTGAGTTATACTTTAATAGTGTTATGTGATAAAAATAGAGATGTTGGTTTTGTAATAATAAACGATAATTCTGCAAAATTCTAAGCAAATAATATAAAGTTTTATCACCTCCCATCACCCTACCCCTATAAATTTTTCGATAATGTAGCTAAGAACCAAGCCCCCATCTATTTCTATAGGTAAATTCATCATAATCCATTTAGCTATTAGGGCGCGGAAGCGTAACAAACAAACTCACTTGCGCATCTTTAATATTTCATTATACTAGTGATCCGCTCCGACAATACATTGGATGGGATGTGGGATAGAATTATCCTATGTCACTCGGATATAAAGTAGTAATAAAGAAAAAAAAATACTAAAAAAAAAGTTGCTGGAATGGATAGTTTTCAAGTAAAAGATTTCTTTAGATTTTTAAATCCAGCAGATTAATCAACTTATTGAGATTAATGTTATAAATATATTAAATAATGTACCTTATGGTGAATGAACTTTCGAAATCGGTTCAGGTTTGAGAGATTATTTGTTACACACATATAACTCTTGCCTCTTTATAATACCTATTAGTATAGATAATTAGGATAGTAATATTTAACCTCTGGCACCTTTTTTTCTTTTTTCTATTTTTTCGATGACGGGGAGAAAAAATGTATTATATCCACGACAATGACCAACGCTACGTTAGTTTGCTGTTAACAAACCCTCGCGACGCCGGTAATTGCGTGGTGCATTCGGCAAGCGGCGAGCCGCCCGAGGGCCGCTAGTCGGTGCGGGTATACTTTGACGTACACTCACGCAAGCGTGGCATACGTCAAACCACCCCGCCCCCGAACAGCAGCCAGATCCGCACCCGCTTTCGCCGATCCTGGGCTTCTCCGTTCACAGCGTCGCGTCGCCTGGCTAGTCTCACGGACCGCAGTCCGAGCGGCTAGCCAGCCGACCAGCTCCCGTACCTACCAGGTAAACCAACTCCCCGATCTACCCCTCACCCTCCAGGCGTAACTGCGGGGTCCAGTTATGAGTCGCCGCTTGTTACGCCTGTTGGTTCTGTGAATTATGTAAGTAAAACAAATTATGAGACAAGGATATGCACTGCATTTGTGTATATCATAATCTTAGAGTTGCATACAGCCACAGTAAATGAATTTTATATTTACTGCTAAAAAGAACATAAGCAAAAGATGACTTTTTGAATAAATACGGAAAATAAGTACTAGTTAAGTATATAATTTACATGCATTAGATATACAGGTAAGGACTTGATTTAACTTCACACATTTTTGCGAAAATTCAGGCCCATAACGCCTTGACCCTGATGGTAAGGTGTCGTTTAGACCACCGTAAGGTACTTATTAATCCCCGCGATATTAACTCTGTTATCGAAGTGAAAAGACTGCCTTATATACCGTCTTATAATCCTAACTAAAAAGTGTAAAATAAAAAAGGTATAATTATATAAAATCAAAAACCCGACTTCATAAGTATTAATTCAAATAAAAACTGAAAAGAATAAAACAGTCGGGTTTTTTTGATTTTTAATTTTTGTAATATTTTAGAAATTATGATTTTATAATAAAAACTTAGATAATTTATTTCCTACGTGCTAACGAGTGTTTGTTTACAAATATTTTGACGTCATAGCATAGATTGGGTTGGGTTTTGGTGTGCCCATGAAAACTCTTTTTTGAAAATTAAAGTTTTGTAGCTTTCTAGGTAAAAAAAAAATGGTTGCCTGTAAAGTCGGTTTTACGGGCGAAGATTTTACGTGACAACGTCTTTTTCTCGGTAGAATATTTATTGATATGAATATAATTAAATTGCACAATAGGAACAAGGAATTGAATGAAAATAAGAATTGCACAAATTTTAACTATAGAAATATATTGTGTTTACTAAAACATTGTACATGTAAACTTAAACTTAACACGAGAGACTCATCGTAACGTTACCGAGCGTTACACTTTTTCATAAGTGACTCCCAGCCGCAACCTAATTTAAGACGTTGTCACGTCAAAAAATACAATACATTTTTTTAGTCTAATAGAACAATTTATTAACCATTTAAAACATATTGCCAAAAAGTGTAAACTAGCCTATTTGACAACAGTGTGTCCTTGTCATTTTCTATACAGAACGAAAAGAAGAGACTGATGTTAATTTAGTTTTAAGTTAAGAGAACCATGCCAGAATCGACACTCACCAGTGTCTGTGTTTGATGGTAAATGTCTTCTCCAAGAACTCTATGTTCTATCTCCCTTTTTTGGGTTCCGTAGCCAAATGGCAAAAAACGGAACCCTTATAGATTCGTCTTGGCCGTCCGTCTGTCCGTCCGTATGTCACAGTCGCTTTTTTCCGAAACTATAAGAACTACACTGTTGAAACTTGGTAAGTAGATGTATTCTGTGAATCGCATTAAGATTTTCACTTAAAAATAGAAAAAAGAAGAAATTTTGAGGGTTCCCCATACTTAGAACTGATACTCGGAAAAAATTATAATTTGAATTTTTTAAGCATTAACTGCTTGATATTCAAATCTAAAGAAAATATAACAAGAAAAAAATCCACGCGGACTAGGCAGCAGACGGGACTCGAACCCGCACCCTTCGCTATCCGGGCGAATGCACTGATCAATTATGCTACCGCGGCCCTGATGGCCGCGTCGAAATTCTTCTAGCTATTCTTAAGCTGCAAGGCAGCGCTATCTCTTCGCATTGTAGGTAACCCACAATGTCAAATGAATACTTTTACAAGTATTAAACATTTGAAAATAAAAAACGTGTGGGGTATCAAATAATCAATCAATAAATATATGATGTACATTACTATGCAAACTTCCACCGAAAATTGGTTTGAACGAGATCTAATAAGTAGTTTTTTTTAATACGTCATAGGTAAATCACAAATAAATAAATAAAAAAAAAACACTTTTATTAAAACATCGCTCAAACTTACAACGAACTATAAAGAACTATTATATTATGTGTTACTTGTTGCTACGGAACCCTTCATGGGCGAGTCCGACTCGCATTTGGTCGCTTTTTTTAATTTAATTGTATCAAAATACTCGTTTTATTCGGTTTCACCTATCCTAACTTCTTCCTTACACTCAGAAAAAAGTACGTAGATCTACGAACTTCTCATATGCAAATACTTATTCTACAAGTTTGGCTAGTTTCTGTTTGTTTGTTTGTTAAGTAATTTTGTCATCGGGTCTACTACGCTTTTTTCAAAATCCGAGTCGGCAACACTAGTTGGCCGGCCGCGTCGATGGCGCTGTCTGCATTGTTTTGAAAAATAAACTTAAAAATTAGTATTCCTAGAAATATTGTTAAAAGTAAATACTTACTCGAATGTAAGTAGCGTACTGTGTCAGTTTTATAAATATGTTGGTTCTGTTTGAAACGCCGGCGGGCTACGCAATATTCAAGGTAAGCTCTTGCACGTGTTGATTATAACCTAAAATTTCAATGTTTCGAGTTAAGATTTCAAAGAAAAGATTATTTCTACACTGAATAGTTAATAGCAGTATTTAATAGATGGTTTCTAGAGACTAAGTCAACCAATTATTGTTAATGTATTATTTTATTTTTAAGAAAAACTTCTGAATATTTTGGAGTGAATGATTCATGCGCTTTATTATATTCTTTAATTGTCATTTATTACAAAAAAATAAATAAATACAAAGATTGCTGTTTATTACAGTTGTTGGATGAATCAAAACTATCACATATAGAAGATTTGTATCAAGAATTCAACTCTCCTGAGGGCGCATCTTCTGTGTAAGTTGTCTGTTTAACCTTTTGTATTCTTGTTAAATGAGAGACAGGGATATATTAAAATATTCTGAAAATTGTAAGAAAATGACTGATACTTGATGTAAAGCTAATGACGTTCTGTATTGTTATAGTTTTATATCCAAGATAGGTAAAATTACAATAAGATATTTGTGTTATATTTTCAGGGTGAAACTAAAGAATTTTGTCAAGTTTGAAGATACAACTGAGGCGCTGGCGGCCACTACTGCAGCTATTGAGGGAAAAATCTCCAAGCCATTGAAGAAAACTCTCAAAAAGTATGTGTGCAAGGAGGTGCAAGACCAATTGCTAGTAGGAGATGCCAAGTTAGGAAGTGCCATAAGGGAAAAGTTTGATTTACAGTGTGTATCTAATTCTAATGTCCAAGAATTATTGAGATGTATTCGCTCACAAATGGACAGCTTATTATCCGGGTTGCCAAAGAAAGAGATGACAGCTATGGCTCTCGGGCTCGCACATTCTCTGTCCAGGTACAAACTGAAGTTCTCACCAGATAAAATCGATACAATGATAGTACAAGCTCAGTGTCTTCTAGATGACTTAGATAAGGAATTGAATAACTATATCATGAGGTGCAGAGAGTGGTACGGCTGGCATTTCCCTGAGCTCGGAAAGATCATAACTGACAATACATTATTTGTTAAAATTGTAAAACTTATAGGCACACGAGATAACGCATCAAAGACTGACCTCTCTGACATCTTACCTGAAGACTTAGAAGAAAAAGTGAAAGAAGCTGCAGAAATATCAATGGGCACTGAAATATCCGATGATGATATTATGAATATACAAAACTTGTGTGATGAAATCATTTCTATAACAGATTATAGGACACATTTAACAGACTACCTCAAAGCTAGAATGATGGCAATGGCTCCGAATCTGACAGTATTGATCGGTGAACACATTGGAGCTCGGCTTATAGCTCATGCTGGATCTCTCATGAACCTTGCGAAGCATCCGGCCTCTACAGTACAGATATTTGGGGCTGAGAAAGCCTTGTTTAGAGCTTTAAAGACAAAGAAGGACACTCCTAAGTATGGTTTGATTTACCACGCACAGTTGGTGGGTCAGTGCAGTGCTAAGAACAAGGGCAAGATGTCTCGAATGTTAGCGGCTAAAGCTGCTTTGGCGACTCGAGTTGATGCTTTCGGTGAAGATGTCTCATTTGAATTAGGAGCTGAACACAAAGTAAAATTGGAGAACAAATTGAGGCTTCTAGAAGAAGGTAACTTGAGGCGGATCAGTGGCACGGGGAAAGCTAAAGCTAAGTTTGAGAAGTATCACAGTAAAAGGTAACTTTTATCAAATTACTATTCAATTATTTAGTGTTTACTCAAACTCATCATCAGCCTATTAATGTCCCCACTGCTGGAGCACAGGCCTTCCCTATGGATGAAATAGGGAGATTGGGCCAGGCCCAGTGCAGATTAGTGGGTGCTAATTAATAACTGCAGTTGTAGCCGGTTAACATGCTGTCTGAAGCACTAAGGAACTTGAGATAAAAGATTTTTGGTCATGACAATTGTGGGTTTCGGTCTAAGATGTTCCAAGATCTGAACATCTAACTGAAATATTTGCCATGTTTACAGATCAAATATCAGTATTAGATAATTGTAATATTAATTAATAACAAAATTTCAATTCTAATAATATGCAAGTAGTCACACTTCATAACTTGAATCACATGAAATAATGTTAGCAAATAGGACTATAAATACACAACAGTACAATAAACTATTAAACAGACTGTATTTAATAGTTCCTTGAAACAAGTTATTTTTTTGTTTATATCTAATACCGATTTTCGTGAAATTTTATAAGCATATTCAGTAGGTCAGAGAATCGAACAACATCTATTTTTCAACCCCCTGAATGTTAAGGGTCACCCCTAAATTATTATTTTTTTATTGTACAAAATATTTTGTTTACAACCCTAAACCAAATTATCACCCGTCTACCACCAACCCCTATTTTATTATGACGGTACGAAGTTCGCTGGGACAGCTAGTTTTATTATAACATAGAATAGATACATATGCACATTATGTTTCTTATATTATTATCCGTTCCTAACATGTCACAGGTCATTATTGACTGCTCAAAATAAGGTGTCAATTAAAACATCCAATATTGCTTGTGATCTTAGTTAAATATTTAATTGTTTTATCTAAGTTAATTGAGGGGCGCTTAATTATATGACATGGTTGGATAAAGAATGAATAATAAATAAATATAAAGTATTAGTCATTTATTTAATGATAATAGTCATCAAGGAGCTCGATGGCGCGGGTGGTTAGCACGTTCGGCTGCGATCGTTGAAGTTAAGCAACTTTTTAGCAGCGGTCGGTCATTGGATGGGTGATCAAAAATCTTCTATCTCTCGTTCCTCCGTGCTCCGGACGGCACGGTAAGCCGTCGGTCCCGGCTGCATCTGCAGTCTTTAGCGCCCGCTAATCCGCACTGGGCCCGCGTGGTGGGTCATGTCACGGCCCAATCTTCCTATTCCATCCATAGTGAAGACTTGTGCCCCAGCAGTGGGGACATTAATAGGCTGATGATAATGTCATTATTTAATATATATATTTCAATAGTCTTTATTTTCCACCAACATGGAACTTATCAATGAATGTTACTCCTACTAATATTTCAATGTGAAAGTTTATTATTCTTTAAAGCAATGACTACTAATGGGTTTCGATGAAATTTGGTATGTATATGTACGGGACGCCGGGCTGTCGCAGTAGCGGACAGTTACCGACTCGTACTGAGGGGTGGAGGAAGTTACACGCAGGAGTCTTGATTGTAGTGGACTGTAGTTTCGGCGAATAAAACCCCTGGTGTTCGGTATTGAAGAAATCGGTGGGCGCTGGTAATGGATGGCCGGCGAGAGGAGGCTGATGGTCCAGAGTGAACCGCTTGGTTGTTTCTCCCTGTTCCTTAGGGTAGGAGCGCCTGTCGCTGAATGCATGTTGCAATTTTATATGCTAGGACTGAGCTGGCCAGCGATCCATTACCTCACCCCCCGCTATACTTTATTTTTCATTTTCTCAAAATTTACAATAGTGCGAGCTTAAAACTAATTGTACATACATCGGGCATACATATAGGCATATTTTTAACACAGTTATGTGTCCGTAAACGTGATATTTTAGGTGTGGCGCGCAAAAAATAGGTCTCCGCAATATTTATACTTTCCCCCTCCATAGGGCTTCGCCCTGCCACGGGGCTTCGCTGCCCCACCCGCGCGCTCCTGGCGGGTGGGGAGCGTAACATGTCTCAGAAAAATGGTTCTATGCAAACAGTTTTTGCCTCCTACACGGTACATTTTTACACTTATTGATGTGATACCTATTTATTTACGTAGCCCTACGCGTTACCTATCTAATACAACAAGTTTCTTACAAGAATATCAACAAACAACAGCTCTACGGCCCTATAAAGTTTACAAATTAAAAAGTCTTAAAAAACCTACTTACATTCACTTAATGCCTAACTATCATATACTATTTTAAAGAAGAAGTAAAAACACACAAAATAACATCATTATTATAACAATTATACCTATATCCTATTGACTATTCGTAAAAAACTATTCCCAATTTTTTCCTTAATTACGCTTAAACTACTAACACGATTCATACAAAACTTCGATATATTATTCCTATAGCTACCTACTTTCTAATAAGACATAAAATAAATCAATCAAAACATAAAACATACTATTATCGAAAACTATCAACTCAGGCAAAATCCTATAAGATGTGAGACAAGGACAACCTATTGTCTCCGTCCCTCCTATAGGTCGGAACTATCAGTATTCTGACTAGTTTCCCCGCGCCGCCGCTTGGCGTCGTGGCGATCGTTTAGATAAAGTCTTATAAGATTATTGGAGAGAACGGGGCGGAATATCGCTCTGAACTATCAATTTTACAATGGTTTACTATGGACAGAGCTATCTATTATTGCGATATCCGACTCATTCTAATAAGACAACAAGGGAATGATATTTTTAATGCGTATACAACCGATTCGTGTGAAATTATAGATACATTTTTTACATTATTCAAATATTGTCGTAAGTTCATTTTCTCTCGCTTCGGTCGTCGCGTACATATATATATATAGAAAAAAATGTCAGGTTCACGGTCGGGTTTTAAAAAAATTAAAATTAATGTGGACGAAGTCCAGAAGCTAGTTTTGCGATAATATTCTTTGTTTTCGACCAACATGGATCATTACCGTTATGTTAGTTAGTTTATCATATGAATTAACTACTACCTTTTGTTTACAGTGAGGTGTTCAATTACCCAGTGGGTGCTGACAGTACTCTCGGCAAGAAACCAGTGAAGAGAGAACACTCTCCGGACGAAGAAAATGGCCAAGTTTCCTCCAAGAAGATCAAATTGGAAGATGGAGCTCATGATGTATGAGTTTATTTATGTTATTCAATCACATCACTGTGTATTTTTTTTTATTAGAGTTCCTTAGCTAGTAGGGACACCCTATATTGCTTGTGGCATTTGACCGGTTTTTGTTGTTTAAGTTTGAGTGACAACTAAGGTCCACTTGCACCGAATTTCCTAAATCTCGATCAGGGCTTGTAACCGGTTTCGAAAATACCGGTAAATAAAGGTTAATACCGGTTTTTAGTAAAGGTTTCGTTCGGAGCGCGTCCGAAATGAAAGCGGTACCTAAAAGATTAATAAACCGGTTTAATCCAGAGCGACACGTGCTCGCGTCGGCATCGCTTGAAGTTTGTTTTGTTTTGAACTAATCAAGTCACAACTTGTTAATGTTCAGAGATTGATGCATTTATGGACACGTTTGCTAGCGTCTAGTGAGTCAAGTTATTCATTTTGTAGTTGTGTACTGACACACTATTTCACTCACTCGCTCTGTAGTTGGAAAGAAACTGACATAAAATCATTCATTAAAAATATGAATTAAAACGGCGAAGGCGATGCCGTCGGTGAGAGCGTAATGAAACCCTTTAAAAACCGCTAAATTGATTCAAAACCTATTTGATTTCGCTTTTTAGGAAAACCGGTTTTTTTAGGTTACGGTACAGCCAAACCTAAATAAAACGCTCCTAATGTACCTACTTGATATTGATTTAGGTTTGAAAATTAACCGGTAAACGAGCCCTGATCTCGATATATCTGAAATTAGGTACAGTTAGTTTAGTTTCTCAGGGCGGGTTTCGCAGGGGCGCTTATGGTCGACCACGGACCACTGTTGTAGTTGTCGTTTTGGATGTTTGCGGAGCTGTAGTTATGTAGTTATGGTCGACCACGGACCACTGTTGTAGTTGTCGTTTTGGATGTTTGCGGAGCTGTAGTTATGTAGTTATGGTCGACCACGGACCACTGTTGTAGTTGTCGTTTTGGATGTTTGCGGAGCTGTAGTTATGTAGTTATGGTCGACCACGGACCACTGTTGTAGTTGTCGTTTTGGATGTTTGCGGAGCTGTAGTTATGTAGTTATGGTCGACCACGGACCACTGTTGTAGTTGTCGTTTTGGATGTTTGCGGAGCTGTAGTTATGTAGTTATGGTCGACCACGGACCACTGTTGTAGTTGTCGTTTTGGATGTTTGCGGAGCTGTAGTTATGTAGTTATGGTCGACCACGGACCACTGTTGTAGTTGTCGTTTTGGATGTTTGCGGAGCTGTAGTTATGTAGTTATGGTCGACCACGGACCACTGTTGTAGTTGTCGTTTTGGATGTTTGCGGAGCTGTAGTTATGTAGTTATGGTCGACCACGGACCACTGTTGTAGTTGTCGTTTTGGATGTTTGCGGAGCTGTAGTTATGTAGTTATGGTCGACCACGGACCACTGTTGTAGTTGTCGTTTTGGATGTTTGCGGAGCTGTAGTTATGTAGTTATGGTCGACCACGGACCACTGTTGTAGTTGTCGTTTTGGATGTTTGCGGAGCTGTAGTTATGTAGTTATGGTCGACCACGGACCACTGTTGTAGTTGTCGTTTTGGATGTTTGCGGAGCTGTAGTTATGTAGTTATGGTCGACCACGGACCACTGTTGTAGTTGTCGTTTTGGATGTTTGCGGAGCTGTAGTTATGTAGTTATGGTCGACCACGGACCACTGTTGTAGTTGTCGTTTTGGATGTTTGCGGAGCTGTAGTTATGTAGTTATGGTCGACCACGGACCACTGTTGTAGTTGTCGTTTTGGAAGTTTGCGGAGTTGTAGTTATGTAGTTATGGTCCCGGCTACACCAGGCGGGTCCAGGCTAGCGCCCTTCCCTGAGCGTTGTTTGTAAAAATGTAAATTTAAATACTTTGTACAATGCATTGGGTATTATGCTTCTGCGGCCCTGATGGCCGTGTCGAGTTATCTCTAACCTTTCTTATGCTGCAAGGTATTGTAGGTTATCCTACAATGCGAAGAGATGGCCGCTGCCCGGATATTGAAGGGTGCGGGTTCGAGTCTCGCCTGCTGACCGCTCCGCGCGCGTTTACGCCTGAATTCGTCCTAATTTTACATATTTCGACTTCAAACTTATCTTTTTACATAGTTTTCTGTCTTATAAATCTATTCTACCAAAATCCTATCGATTCTACGTCTATAAACTACCTATATTGCCCTATAAAATCCTATATCTATTTAGGGCTTAACCCTATTTGTACCTAATTTTTACTCATCTTATTGTGTTTAGCCCTGTAGGGGGAATAAAAACAGAAAAGAAAAATCTTTTATGTAAGTCATTACGCAAATAACTACTTTGTTATCCAAACGAAATTAGTCTAGGCTTTTATCGCTTAATTATACGTATTAATCTTCATCTCAACTATGAGAAAGTCACATAAATCTATTCCAATCAATGCCTATCATCAACGAGTATATAAATACAAATAATAATGATCGAAAGCACATGACTTAACAATTACGATTTCATACAACTTGTAATAACCTGAACTATCAAGTTAGAGCTGGTTCGTGGTATCGGCTCCGTATATTAATCGGATGTCGGTGCGTTTGTTCACACACACGATTAATAATCGGTTGTCGGTCACGGTTGAAGCTTTAACCAATTTTAGGCACTCTACGATCTATGAACTACGACCTTTTACCCGTTGCCATAGCAACCGTCTGCGGATTTCTAATATTAAAATCTATTTAAACAAAATCGAAATTATAAAGTATGGGGCCATTCAATTATTACGTAAGCAGATTTATTACAATTATTTAGCCCCCCCCCCCCCCCCCCATGCTTACGTAAACATTGGTACCTATATGCATTTTTCCTTTAATGTATTTTGTTTTTTTTATTATTTCATGAGCTTCATGAGCAGCAGTATTTAAATAGGCTTAGGATAGAGCAATTTAATGCACATAATATTAATTTAAATAAAATTGATTGACACAATATTCACCATAGAGAAAGGTACAAATATTATAATCTTATTAAGTACTATTGCGAACTAAACACACTTCTTTCAAATTTTTGGTATACATATTAATTCCAATTAACGGTCTTCAGTCCATGGCACCCGAATCGATGATGCTGACGTAATGACTATCTCGACCCCCCCCCCCCCCATGTCATCAAAAATAAGCAAAGGAAAGACCCCCCCTGCCCCCCTATAGTGCTTACGTAATAGTTGAACGGCCCCTATCCTACGAAACTAATGCGTGAATTTGCTCTATAAAACTAATATAAAATCGACTAACACATGAAATCACTCATAGGATCACTTTTAATTTATCGATTTTATTATATAGAACTGTTTTGACGTCTCATTGCACATTATGGAATTTCGTCGTTGTCATTTCGGTCGTCTCGTCGTTTTTAAAAAAGTTTTCAGAAAGATGTAGAGGATGGTTTTGTGGGTGCAATTTTTCAGTTTCGATCTCACGAAACATTACGATAAATAACGAAAAGTTGATAAATTTATTCCCAAGACCCAAGAAGGAGGCTTGTATATAAGAAAATAACGCGTTATAATTTTAAAGCATGTAACTGCTTGATGTTTAAATCTAAAGAAAATATAACTAGAAAAAAGTCCACGCGGACCATGCAGCAGACGAGACTCGAACCCGCACCCTTCGCAATGCCCGAAGGGTGCCCTTACGGCCCGCGTCGAAATTCCTCTTGCCATTGTTAAGCTGCAAGGCAGCGCCATCTCTTCGTATTATAGATAACCCACAATGCCAAATGAATACTTTTACAAGTATTAAACATTTTGAAATAAGAAATAGCAATCATAGTTGGTCAGTGCGTTCGCCCGGATTGCGAAGGGTGCGGGTTCGAGTCCCGTCTGCTGCCTTGTTAATAAATAAAGTTTAGTAGCCTTTACAGGCTTTACGAAACGTCAATAAATAAAAGTTTCGTGCATTTAACCGTAAAAACTAGTTTTATTTAATTGTATTGTTTTTGCTCCAGGTTTCACCCAAAAAGAAGAAAAAAGGAATGAAAGAAGAAATGGAAGTTAAAGAGGAATCGTTCGAGGACAACGGCGTGGAGGCCGAGGAGGCCGGCGCCGCGCCAGACAAGAAGAAGAAAAAAAAGAAAAAATCTAGGTCTTCAGAGGCGCCGGAGGCCGGAGGAGGGAACGAATAAAATTAAAAATGTAAAAAACTAAAACGCTGTTGTTTTACTTCTATTCTTTTTTTTTGTTTTTGAAGTTAAACTTCTTTCGGACGGGGTGTAAATGAATAAAATTAAGGTAAAAAAACTTTTTTAAAAACAAGCTTTTCTTTAAATGCGCTAAAAAGAAAAAAAATAAACTTATACACTAAAACTTTTAATGTTAACTTATAACGTCATTTCAAATTTAACACATTTGACACAATTTATATGTTATAAAAGCTTGTCGCGAGAGTACTCGTATTTACTTGCTGCCTATTAACATTTTAAAACTAAGGTAACATCTTATTACATTTAACTAAGTAAATACGAGTACTTAAATCTCGCGACAAGCTTTTATAGCATATAAATTGTATCAAATGTGTTAAATTTGAAATGACGTTATAAGTTAACATTAAAAGTTTTAGTGTATAAGTTTATTTTTTTTCTTTTTAGCGCATTTAAAGAAAAGCTTGTTTTTAAAAAGGTTTTTTTTACCCTAATTTTATTTTATACTTTTTAGTTTTCACCTGATAAGTTACTAAGTCTGTTCATCTCCTTCAGCGTACCATTATTGCAAGGTCGTTTGCCAGTTAATTTTCAACAGTCCAGCTCTTCAATGAGGAGCCCTTCTAATGATTTCACCCTACTTAAGGCCACATATGCTTGACCAGCGGCAAAGAACTTCGAGCCCAAGTATACAACGGCATGGTCGACGGTACTACCCTGCATTTTGTGTACCGTACAAGCCCAACATAATATAATTGGTAACATTCTCCTTTCTGCAGTGTCGTGACTATATTTTGCTGGAAATTGCAGTCAGAGATTGAATGAGATGAACGCCGTCTATACGACCGTATAGGTATGTCAGTATCATACCGAGCCCTTACCGCCAAATTATCGTAAGCGACACTCGCCAAATTATCGTAAGCGACACTTTGCGTCGAAATGCGTTTTTTGTGGAAACTAATATGTTAAACCGTAACGGACCCATCTCTGTTGATATTTCCCTCTATTCTTCCCTCTATTATATTATTACGGTGTTCTTTTGGAGGGAAATATCAACAGAGATGGGTCCGTTACGGTTTAAAATATTAGTTTCCACAAAATACGCATTTCGACAAAAGTGTCGCTTACGATAATTTGGCGAATGTCGCTTACGATAATTTGGCGGTAAGGGCTCGATACATTTGTGCTCTCCAGAAGCAAGGCCATAATATTTCTGTTATATATCCGATTGCACCATTCACAAGACCCTTGGATACATCTACCTACATTGTACCGTAACATTACTTTCGCCGCAACAAATACTTCTAACTCCTTAGGAAACCCTGCAGTCTTATTTATATCAGATGGTATAATATTATTTTCATCCCACCACCTCGGAAAGTGTAATTTTGCGCTTCGAAATCTGGCTGGAAAATTCTATTTTATTCGCTTGAGCGGCAAAGTAGATTTGAATTTAGAACATCACATATAATGAGTACTCAATATAATTGTAAATTCAAAACGTCATTAAACCTATTTAATGTAACCTCTATGGTGCCAAATTTATGATTAGAACTTTTTAAATTGTGAAAAAATTTAAATTTGGAACCTTCTTGGTTTCTTTGTTTTATTTGCGTGCTTCGCGCCATTCTAGTTTTTCACGTTTTATTGCTTAATATAATTAACATAACCTAAAAACTGTACAAAAAAATCAACTAAAATGAGTGACATTAGCGACGATGAAGTTTATCTAACGCCAACTGAGTTAACTGAAACAGTTAATAATGCGCAAATGAGCCTTCTCCCTCAGCAATCACGAGAGAAGTATTTGAAACAGTACGATATATTTAACATGTGGCGACTAGCTAAAGGAGCAAAAACTTTCTCCGAAAACGTTTTGCTGGCATATTTTATAGAATTATCTGAGACCAAGAAAGCAAGCACGCTATGGAGTACGTATTCAATGCTAAAATTAACAATTAAGATGAAGAAAGACGTTCATATCGACACCTATCATAAATTAGTGGCATTTTTAAAAAGAGCCTCATCTGGTTATAAACCAAAAAAATCGAAGGTTTTCACAGCATCTGAAATTGCAAAGTTTATTAATGAAGCACCTGATTCCGTATATTTAGCGGCAAAAGTAAGTCAATACGTGTAATTTTTTGTTGTTGATAAAATTGTACATAGTACTTACAATATTTTTAATTTGATTAATTTATTTACGATTATAAATACTTCTTTTGTTACAGGTTGTTCTTATTATTGGTATAACCGGAGCATGTCGAACAAATGAACTTACACTACTTAATGTCAATAACGTATCAAAATATTCTCATAATTCTGATGAATTGCTATTAATTAATGTACTAAATACCAAGACAAAAAAAGACCGCAACTTCGTTATTCGCAAGGAATATGTAAACATTGTTCAGAAATATCAAGCTTTCTAACACCCCAATTGAACGATTTTTTCTACAATATCGCAACGGAAAGTGTATCCGACAACCTATGGGTCAGAATAAAATTGGCAGTATTCCACGAGAAATAGCAACTTTTCTCGGACTTTTAGAACCCCCGTTATACACCGGTCACTGTTTTAGAAGAACCTCAGCCACACTTTTGGCCGAATCAGGGGCTGATCTTCTATCGCTTAAGCGCCATGGAGGCTGGAAGTCTAATTCGGTTGTAGAGGGATACATAGAGGATTCAATCCAAAGTAAATCAAAAATTTGTAATAGTATCGTGGAGGCCATAACGCTGAAAGAACCTCTGTCAGATTCTTGGTCTCGCCCTTCTACATCTAAAATGAGCCCCCATAAGATTGGAAACAATAGCCCTCTCTCGCCAACATTTACGCCAATAGAATCCAATGAATCGGCACAACTATTTAAAATTACTGATACGAGTAGTTTACCACAAAACAGCGCACAATTCACAAACACCAACATAACATTACCTAACAAAAATATTAAACTTAACATAAGTAACTGTAGCAACGTTACATTTAATATTTCTTAATTATTTTCTACTTCTTATTATTTTCTTCAATTTATAGATTATCTTAATGTGTTTTAATTGAAATAAAAATATTTTGTCATTATAAATTGTTTTCTTTTTCATTTTGTCATTTCCTCGCTGAGGTGGGATGAAAAGTTACGTATTGCACTCGAGTGGAAAGATTTTTCACCTTGTGCTCGTTTGTTTCCCTCGCTGACGCTCAGGATTCTAATTTAGAATCACTCGCTGCGCTCGTGATTCAACTTTAGAATCCTTCGCTTGCTCGGTCATCCAAATCGAGCACGCGGTTAAAAAGGAACTTTCCACTCTTGTATAATAAATAACTATTAAATCCACGTTGTCATTGTTTTGAGTACTATCTAGTAGACTATCCTGTGCTTTTATTTTGTTGATAGTTATACATTGAGGCCGGAAATGTTCGAGAACACTTTTGTTATGGTCATACACTTGTTGGTTAGTGGGATAAATTCGTAGGGCCTTTTCAATTGCACACTCACCTGTCGGTTCTTTGTTTAGTCGATTCATTAAAATAGCAAAATGTTTAGATTGAAGTTCACCAACTCCTAATGCGTTTAAGAAGTCTTTAAAAGTTGTGCTACCTTGTTATCGCATATTTTCGGTTAATTCAATTAACAAGAAAGAGCGCCATAAGTGTGTTGCTGGGATAAACCTAGTAGGTTGATCAAACACTTGATTTCCTCTCACGGGAGGTAACGGAGTTGTCCTTCTCCTAGACAGGTTGCAAACCAATGCTGTTGACGCTCTCTTGAAAAATCTACCAAAAAATTAACCAGTTCATGCTACAACCCTAACTAAACCAACATGATATCATATCAAATGCTTATACCCATACACAAATATGCATATACGTACATACATTCATACATACACACATACATACATACACACATATGTACATACATGCATACAGATACCATGTAAAAACAAAATATACTCGTCAAGAGTTATTCTCAGCAAGCCCTTTAATTTGATATCCATATTGTAGGAATGCATTAATAATGATTGGTGCGCCATTTTGGATATGACGCCATGTTGGATTTGGAATGACGTCGCACTGTTAACCATGCATTGTCATCCAAACTGAGCGTGTATGCAAAATTTCAACTCAATTGCTTAAATATATCTGTTTCAAAATTGATATTTGAGTTTTAGTAGTCTGCCATATTGGATTAAGAGAGACGTCACATTCTTTTGCGGGTTATTCTCAGCAAAACTTTTCATTTGATACCCATATTGTAGGCATGAATAAAACAAAATTATCCGCCATTTTGGGTGTTCCGCCATCTTGGATTTAGAATGACGTCACACAATTAACTATGCTTTGTCATCCAAACTGAACGCGTTTAAAAAAAATCATCTAAATTAGTTAAAGATATCTGTTTCTAAATAGATTTTCAAATTTTAGAAGTCCGCCATATTGGATTGAGAGTGACGTCACATTTTTTTCGAGTTACTCTCAGCAAGCCCTTTAATTTGATACCCATATTGTAGGAATGCATTAAAAATGATTGGTCCGCCATTTTGGGCATGCCGCCATATTGAATTTAGAATGACGTCACACTGTTAATCATGCATTGTCATCCGAATTGAACGAGCATACCAAATTTCAGCTTAATCGGTCAAGGGCAAGTGCTTTAAAATTGAGTTGTAAGATTTGACCGTAACAAACATACATAGCAAGTTAAATAAAAGCTTGTAAAAATCCTATGGAAAAGATAAAACGGAAACGCATCACGAACGTCACACGACTATATACCTAGTCAGGTTATAAATTCTGTCACATGTTTAATATAAAATAATTGAAACAAGTTTATTCATTATGTAATCATTTATATACCAAAAAGAACTTAACAAAACAGATTCTTATGACAATAAAGTTTATTCAAAATGACCTCCGTGATTTTTTTTCAGGCCTTCAATCTGCGCGGCCAGTCGTCTATCGCAGCACGAACGAGGTCCATGTCAATATCGGCGGCTGCCTTAATCAAGGATGTCTTGAGTGACTCCAAATTGGGATGAGGCTTTGAGCACGCCTTTTCCTCCAAGTGTTGCCATATCTTGTAATCTAACGGACTCAAATCTGGACTGAGGAGCGCCAGTCTTCGTGCCGGATGAAGTCGATTTCACGCGCCGCCAGCCAGTCTTGTGTGCTCTTCGCTCTATGAGCTGGCACCGAATCTTGTTGGAATACCCAGTGCCTGTTATTGAACATGGTATGAGAAACAGGTTCCACAAGGTTCGTCAGGACTGTATTTTGTTACACAACTGCATTCGCTTTTACACCTTTCTCACAAAAACTACCTCTGTTCTCAATAAGAAACTCTCAACCATACCATGAGCGAGGATGGAAAATGACCTCGTTGGACACGCGGAATACGGTTGCTCGCTTCTTTACTACTGTGTGCGTACACCTTATCATTTTGTTTGTTGTAGCTCTCTTCTACGGTCAAATTTTTTTCATCCGTAAAAAGAATTTGTCGATATTTTTTTCCCGCGTACCGCTTCAACAAAGCGCGGCATCTCTTCAGTCCATTAGACGAGCATTCAAACGATGTCCTGTTTTTCTTCGATATGCCCGAAGCCCTAAGTCTTCATTTAACACCCTTTTCACAGTGGTTCTGCTTAACCCCATCTGAAGGGCCAACGGTTTCTGCTTACGTTTGGGATTTCTTTGAATTCGCGCCTTCACAGCTTTTATCACTGCTGGAGTCCTAACAGACCGAGGGCGACCACTTCTTGGCCTGTCTTCATTGCATCGTTTGATGGTACGATAAACAAATCTTTTGGTTATATTCAAATTTTTCAGTATGTCAAAAATTTGAATTGGCGCGTAACCGCAACGATGCAACGCAATAACTGCAACACGGTCTTCTCTAAGCGTCCACTCCATATTAAAAAATGAGTAAAATTCTAAAAAGTATACATTTTTATTTTCATGAACAATTCGAAATTCGAATTCAATAAACTTTTTTGTGGCCAGCATTCTAAAAGAAAAGTTTTTACTGCGTGACAATACTTATGACCTGACTGTGAATATAATTTGGGAGTTTTATATCGTAGGTTTGGTGTCGTGGGCTCTTATGATATCTCTACCATTACACTGAACTATTTAAGTACTACGTATTTTGGCCGGTTTAAAGATACAGATTTCACTATACCTATATTGTGGTGAAAATTCGAATAGCGTTTACGGCGCATAAAGACACTATCGAATAAATGACTAATAAAAATGGGGGCGGCGAACAAGGGTCGAAATAGCGGCTTAATTAAAACTGGCAGCCAACAGCTGCAACAGCTTGTTTTTTACTTTGCTGTTAAGTGGCATTCTTCTGTGCTGTGGAACTGTGGAGATAGAATGTAGGATTACGGTATATAACTACCTACTATTGTTCTGTGATTGTCATGTCGAAGCAATCATTTATCACGGGGAGTGTTCTGAGGAATTGTTCGGATTAATTCCAGCTGCTGCATTTCGCCATCGTACATCGCGACAAAAATTTCATCCCCATCATCTTGATGCGTGGCTATCCACAACCGTGCGTTTTTGTCGAAATTTTTTACCACGTACGACAAAACTGTGGAATATGTTGTCGCCAGCAGTGTTTCCGGACC